TTGGACAACACATTACTTATGTCAGTCTCGTTGTATTATCTTTAGTATATCTTGAAGACAGTATTAAACAGTCGAGCCTCATACCGTTCTAATACTTGCTGCAGCTTCAATAAAAAGATCTTAAGCCGAAGCTGCTTGTTTTGTCTTTGTAAGAAATACACTCAAGAGCTTGTTGAGGTAGGTCAGGTCTTGCAGCATTCATCGCTCAGTCTCCATTTTCTGCAGCATTGGCTATACTACGCCTGTTCAGGATGGGTATTGCATTAAAGGAACAGACTCACCATACGCAAGTAAAAAGAATTCAATGATGCACAAACCTGCTTTACCTGCTACCTAATAGGTAGGATACATCTGATTTTATTCACTCTAACATACGTATCTAAACGCACTCTTATGAGGAGCAATTAAATTAGTAAATGAATAAGTGTGCTTAAACAATTGTGTAACCCGTGCTTTGGCAACAGTCATCGCTGAAAGCACATTTATCTGAATGCAGTCTAGTAGTTTGTGAATAATCCTCAAAACATCCTTAGCGACTTGGCCACCGGCAAGGAACTCATTGATGACTGCTTTTTGTTGTGCTGCATTTTCACATGTTCACGTTTGTGCAGCAGCTTCTAGAGGAGTAGTTTTTATAGAACGATGCAATATTGCTGATGTAAGAGCCAACTTACGGGAGACTAAGAAGTTCTGCTATAAATGAAATTTGCGTCATCGCCAATGACTGGGCATTTAAATAATTCATTTGTCATGCCCTCCGAATTTCGTTTTTTGGCCATTGAATTTCAAAAGCGCTTTAAATTGGACGCACGGAAAAACAAAACGGATAAAAAGAAAACTCTTTTGATTTAAAAGCAGCTCAGTTGGGTCGGCGGGTGTAGATGGCAACATGAAAATACAAAGCCGGAAGCAAATCATTCAAATATTCCATTTCCTCAATTTGTGGTGGCTGCTCTTGCAAAGTCGGCCGAGTAATTTTCAGTGGAAAAAAGGCAGAAAAATGTACTGAAAATAAATACAAAGTAGCAAACAAAATAGCAGCCAGAAATGAGGCGCACTGGAACGCACAGCCGGGCCGGGCCGGGCCGAACCGGGACTAACCGAGCCGTACTGGCCGGAAGCATTGCAGCAGAAAGCGAGCCCTGGAAAACAAAAAGGAGAAGTCTCGACAACGTTTGCTTGAAAAGCTACCTGAGGGCAAAAGAATTACAGAGCAGGTGAAATGACGAACTGTTACATAAAGAGTGTACGCTCGAAGACTTTTTAAACAGTACATTTTGGACACTCTTACACCGATTAGTCAGCGTAAACATCGAAATAAAATGTCCGCAAAATGCTGGATGTTCATTGAGTGCGCTCCGTCCTCGGTTTAAGCTCGCGGCACGTTCAAGTGCCGCCATTAAACAACTTTTACTTCAGTGCACCCAAAAATCTGTCATTCGACCATTGAAATTAAAGACTTGAAATCAAAAAATCACTAAATTGACAAAACAAGTGGAAAATCACAAATTGTGGCATTAAAACGTGGCCAAGAGCGACGAGCCGCCAGTGACTGCCGCCATTTTTCTTCACTGCTTTGCACTTCATTTTATTTGCGCTCAACTGATTTCGATTGATTAGACGCGGCATTTGAGTATTGATTTATTAACGCTGATATATCACACAAGCGTCTCGTCCAAGAAGCGCCACTGCCTTTCGAGCTTTGTAAATTATTTTGGGTTCCGTCAACAAATCGCACAAACGCCCAATCCGGCACCACTCGCAGAACTCGTTCGTTGGGCGTCCAGCGGCAGTCAACCTTTCCAGCATTTCCACATCACTGAATTGCTATACACGTATGTATGTACATGCGCCCTTTGGTAAGACTTCCGTTAGGTAATATGACTATGTTTTACCTTTCCGTTTGCCACGATTTTGATTTCCCAACTACAAGAGTGCAAAAGTTTCCCTCCTCCCCGCCATGTCTACATACGTTGCCGCGTCTCAGCTCCCAGGGTATGTGTGTTTGCGTAGGTCCTTTGAAAGTGTTGTGCCCAATTAAAAGGCAAGTTGACATTTTCTTCTGTGCACAGAAAAGTACTCTTGCAACTAAATCTCTAAAAAAAACATGCAATAACATTATTAGTCGCTCAATCTTAAATCCAACTGCTTCGGATTATTTGATATACAGAAGAAAGCTGTAACTGAGGACTTGCAATCATTTTAAACGTAAATGGAAGCCAATGTTAGAGGAACTGTTTCAGCTGGCATCTAGAATTCCATCTAAGCTGAAGTTAAGGACGACTCGCGCCCTTGTCAAACTACATAAGCCAAACTATATACTATATTGGTACATATCTATGGCCTGCATGTAACAATCTAAGTTACAACAACAGCGAGATTTGTGCGTCTGGGAGAAGAATAACAACAGCTGTTAATAAGGCCCTAAGTCGTTTGGGAAACACTGAGACGTCCTAGAGGGAAAACGATAAGCTTCTTAATAGACATATTCCAAAACAAGTAAAAAAGCTAAAGTCGGGTGGCCCGACTTTGAAATACTCTGTACATATGTTTAGAATAATTACAGAAAATAAAAAAGTAAGAGAATTAAAAAAAAAAAAATTTGATCGATCTACCTCTCTCGGTATTCGAACTCACGTAAAGGGTGTATAATTGCACATATACAAAGCAATTGCGTCTATGTGAGTGTATGAATGTTTATGCGCGTCTATTTGTGTCTAAGCATTTTCGCAGTCAACCAAACAGCAACATCAACAACAGCAGCAAATATATTTATGGCTATAACTTCTTGTTTAATCGGTCTATCATAGTGAAACTTGGCATACAGACACATAATAGCTAACTGGGGGCATTTGCATTTCGAAATTCCAAGAATGACGGGAGTTAAGGAAAATCGTGATTTGCGTGGTGAGAGGGGGGAGGGAGGGAAATTCCAAAATACACATTTTCTGCGTATTCACATAAGGCATCTGGGACTAAAATTTGGTGTCCGTAGTCTCTTATAGTCTTATAGTCTCTTAGATATAGGCGATTATACGAATGGAAAATCGGGAAAACCCCCATAGGGGGAAGTGGGGGAAAATAAAAAAAATAAAACAAGCTTTCACAGCGTACACTTATAACGCATTTTTGTGCAAAATTTGGTGTCTGTAGATCTTATAGTCTCTGAGATCCAGGTGTTCATACGGACAGACAGACATGGCTAGATCGATTCGTCTCGTCATGCTGATCAAGAATATATATACTTTGTGGGGTTTGCCACGCCTCCTTCTGTCTGTTACATTTTCAGCTCCCGCAAACCTGATATACTCTTGTACATTTTATGTACAGAGTATAATTAATTGGGGGGGTTATACTATTGTGTTGTCCAGATAGCGTGGATGGATGTGTTCTTTTTGGTGGATAAATGACCACGACGTTGAAGGCATGTATTTAGGAGAGTTTTCCAGAGGAGACATTTTTGGGTCATGCTCTCGCCATGAGTGGGGCTCGAACCCACGACCTCTTGTTTGGTGTACGCATGCGCTATCCACTACGCCACCGAGGCCGAATCAGTTGTGTGGACGGGGTTTCAAACCATTTAACGAACTGCGAGTCATACTGGATAATTAATTAATTAATTAATAATTATAAGAGTATGAGAGTATGAGTATTCAGTTGCATCTAATTGGACTCCACTTTGTTCTAGAACTACTTTTTAGAGCTACTTTCGAAACTTACTCACGTTATTTGATCATCTATCTTGGAAATCTATTCTGAAACCATCATTATAAAAGCATTAAGCATTCGTAATACCTAGAAAGTTAGGCTAAGAAAGATCATTAAAGAAAAGAAAAAGGAAACAAAAGGATAATCCTGAATTTCACTTTTTACAATATTCAGGTCTTATGATTATCCAGTTGACGAAATGAGAAGAAAAGCATTCTGAAGAATGAGGTTTTGACCCAGAAAGCATTTATCATTTATATACATTATCTGTGGAAGAGCTAAGTATACACTATATGTTTTGAAAACGTAAATTCTAGATGTTTGGTTGCTGGACAAATTTTGATTTAATAAGCATGTCTAAAAGTGGCATCAGAGAGCTACAATCAATTAAGAATAAGTGCTTAAATTCACAATCACATTCGCATTGCATGATAATTGTATAAAGCTGGCATTTCGCAAAATATTATTCACTAAATGCATCGAATTTTATCGAGCAAGTCGAGTGTCAGTTAGCCACGGAACTACTCGTAATAAATATAATTTTCTTTCTCAAATATTGAGAAATTTAATAAGCTTTTGCCTGTATCTCTCTTCGATGCGTCTGCAATCAAAATTAAGCTTCACACAGCAACAAGGACTTTAGTGGAAACAAAAGCAGAATTTGTTTATGCAAGCAATAAAGTAAATTGAATTTTAAATGAAGATTGATTTTTGGCCTGAGTTCTGAAAAAGGCGGTTTCTCTTGTCATTAAGGAAGTCGTAGGGGAATGGTTGAGGGTCATGGTAATTAGAAAATACTGCACATAAAATATTTGTTGTCCTTAACCGAGAAAGGGCGCTTGCGTATTGTCTAAAATGAATTAACATAATCCAAAACCTTAGCGTGTGATGGCCGATATCCAATAATTATATATAGGAACATAAATTGTTGAATGGATTTCAAAGTATGCGAATGACTCAGTAAAACGCCACTTTTGGCAAACACTGAAAAGTTGCCCCTACTTAGCAATAATGGACTAATGGAGGGTTGGACATATTGGACTATTGAGCACGCCACGCTATTGTCAAGCACTCAATGCTCGAAATATTTTCGAATTTTCGAAAAAATAAAAAAAATAAATATATATATTAGCAACAACAAGCACAATTGAAACGAGCGCAAGCATTTGGTCGACAGTCCGTTCGCGGCGAGACCTCGCACAACCAACAATTTCCGGCATTTCGTATATAAACTGAAAGTCTGCCCCAACCAGTGTTCAGTTTATTCGGTTCGTTGGCCCACGGCGCGTTTGTCAAAGTAGTGCAGATTACTTAAAAATAAAAATACATACGCGTATATATTGAAACATTCCGTACTCGTTTCACCTCCATCTCCGTTTCGAGTACAAATTCTGTGCCTGGCCACTATTGACTTCATTTGCCTTTCGAACAGCGTGCGGATTACTTGAAAACATGAAATTGAAAATCAATTTGACGTTCCTCTGTGCAGTATTTGTCTGCATGTTGTCTGTCATTTTGTTGACACGAACTGTGGAAATTTCGGCAGCCAGTGGCAGCGCGGAGGCCTGCAAAGAGCTGAGTAAGTCAGAGAGCAGTACACTACTTGTACAATTAGTATATAGTACCTATAACTCAGGCACATGTTTGCCAAATAATGGCCAAAAGTAGCGCGTAAAGTTGCCCAATTAGATCTGGACAATGTATAAATATATTCAAATGACGCATACATCCCTCTCGCATGGCTGTAAATGTGATTTATGACATACCGACACACACAAATTACTTACTTTCCTCTCTAGATTGCGTACAGTGGGTCTGGAGATTGTTAAATGTGCATATAAATGAAGACCCATAGATAACGAGATAGAAGCTAAGGCATTATACTAGATTACCTTTTCTGTTTGTACTGCCAAATCATTCACTGTGAATATATGTTTAATTTTTTCGCGATTCCTCATCCCATTCCCACTCAGCGTGACCGACCTTCTCAACATTACGATCCAAAAAAGTCAAAATTATATAATTTGCATGACAGCTACGTGCTCAAAATCTAGTTATATGACAGAAGAATCGGTGCAAAGTTTCGGAAGGATTGTTTTAAAACTGTAGGCGAAATACTAATTAAAAAAGTTTACCGATCGAAACTGTCGCAAATTGGATCCGTCTCGTCAAATGTATGACCTACTTACGTAAAATATATATACTTTTCCATTCTTTACAGTAAACGCATAAAATTAGGCATCCGTGTTAATAGTTTCAAGAATGTTTACAATAATACAAGTACAAACCGTTTAAGGCTAACTACTTGCTCGCTTATCAAGTAGGAATAAATCGAACATGTTGATGCATAAGTTTTCTTGAATAACGTGAGGACTTGACGTTGAAGATTTTCGTTTGTTTTGTGTTCACACGCTCTCGCAACACGTCAATCTAAAAAACAACGAGTGGAACGTTAAAGTTGCGTTAGCTCAAATCTTGTATACCCTATAGACACCCCTACCTCACTGCCTTCCTTGTTCTACCAATCATTTCTACTATATGACAGTAAACCATGAATATGAAAAACTGAAATACGAAATTTCATTATTTATCAAAATTAACAGTAAAGTTTTTGTTACTATTTTACTACATTTTTTCTACTGATTGTTGCTATGAGAGTATAACACAGAGATCCAATTTTGTAAATACTTATGGACTTCCGATTTTTGTGAGAAAAGTAAAAAAAAAGTTATAAGCATCAATTATTGGGTTGCTATCGTAATAATAAGCACTGGGTTTGAATTTTTCTGCACTGGTCGGTCCTATGACTGCTATATAAAATACCTATATACAATTTGTAATAAACTTCCTCATATAAAGTGTGGGAAATAAGTCTCTGGTAAAAAAATATTTGTTGTTGTAAAATCTATATTGCATTATTTTTTGACTTTTTTTTACCAATATTTAAAGCCATCTTCGCTCTTGCTTATAGCAAGACTACAAAAATTTTTGCCGCTACGACTTAAAATAGCCTGCAGCTTCGCTTGCTAGAGCGAAATATGTGGCTGAGACAAATAACAAAAAATCGCTTTTAATAATTTTTAATATTGTTAAATAAAGAACTGGTTATGCATTTTGTTAAAACGAGCGCATATTATTATTTATAACCTTATTTGTAACCTATTGAATTTATTACGTTTTGGAGAATTTTTTTTGTCAATCTTAACCCATTTCAGGACAATAGCTACGACGAAAAAAAATTTAAGCAATTAAAGAAACATCGGCTCTTCCAAAATTCATTAACCTAATCTAACGAATGTCATACGACGTGTACAAATTGTTTCAAGCTCATCAGAATTGGTTTCATATGCAAAGCCTTACTCTTACTCTCAATCTTATAAAATAAAAATGTCGTTCAGTAAACTAATTTCCAAAGCTAGTGCTCAATATTGTTGGCATGTGTGCCCATACGCAGTACTTATCATTGGCAGCCAAAGTTGTTCTCATGAGAATATTTAATATTTTGGGTTCCCTTGACTACGAATATAGCACGGGTGCCCACATATTATGAAATACAAATTCTGTCAAAATTTGATGCGTAATGCGCTCGTTGTCTGACAGACAGGCAAAATTTAATTGCATTAAATGAGGCCTGCAAATGAACTCACTGGAGCGCAGCCCGAGGCAATAATGCATACACAAAGGAAAATAGGAAATAAAGACTTACCAGGGATCAATAAAATGATTTACTAATGAATTGTTATTTTGTCAATTCACAGACAATGTCAACTGCTATGTTGGTCGGAACGAGGGAAACTATTGCAACAGCAAGGACACTACCAAAGCCGTAACCCGATGGTATTATGATAAGGGGGTGTGCCGCAAGTTCACCTACAAGGGCTGCAATGGGAACCGCAACCGATTTTGCACACAGGACAGTTGCAAGACGCGCTGTGGAGCCGACTGAGAAGTAAAGGGAGGGGGAACGGACAACAACAATAGATGCTAAGTTTTTATTATTAGGCTAAGCAGCAGCTACATCGAATATATTTACATACAAATACATACTACGAGTATGTAACACCAAAGTACCATCCACTCAAGCGTTTCTCTCTGCCTATGGCTCCAACTACATGTCGCTATATAGTAAATGGGCCAACTAGCAGCGTCTTGTAAGCGTTGTGGCCAGCAATACAGCACTTTGGCACTGCCATGGCCAAAATGTGTAAAGTGTCAAGCAAGCTGACAGCGCGCGATCGAATTGAACGATGACAGGCACGGAAAATGTGTCACCGAGCAGCTTCAGCTTAACCTGATGCTGCACCATCTCCCTACCTGCAATTAGTCACACAGTAATGGTCACAATGGCCGGCAGAAGCTTTTAGCGGCAGTCAAGCCAGCTGATGCCGTAGACTCTGGTAATGTGCTGGACCACTTGAGAGTGTCGGCTACCACATCAAAGGCCTGTCACTATGCGGTTGGCTTTTTGTGCAGCGATCGCCTTACAGCTAATTAAAATTGCCCGTCAACGAGCTGTGTCGAGCTGTAAATGAAATGACGTTTGCCATTTAACTTACCTATTGAGTGCTTAGCAAAGCGTTTTTTTGTTTTCCAATGTAGAGATGGGCACGTGACAGCTTTTTAAGTGATATTGGATGGTCCTCAACTTAAAACGGTTTCTGGTTAATCGATCTACGTATTGGTCACAACAAAACGTTTTTTAAACTTTCCCAAAGCATCCAATCTCTATTTTAGTTCCTCAACTAAAAATTCCAATTGGCAATTGATTCGGCGGCGGCTGGTTTGGCGCACATTAATTGCAAATGGCTTTCGCTTTTGACAGGCATTTGTTTTAGCTGTCGTCGGCAGACAACGCCCCAGTGCCCACAATCTTCATGCAGGAGATTAGGGCCGGGGGGATGTTTGATTGGTGTGCACTCTTTGCACAAACAAATGCCAATCAAATGCATAACAACATCTACAGGTTCGAGGGAGGGGGTCAACGTCAACGTGACGTGACGCGGCGTTGATGGCAGTGAATTAATTTGTTTAAATGACAGTCGAACGCACAAATATAAAAGCAACTAACCCAGAAATCAACCAATCAACCAACCAGCCAACCAGCGAACCAACTGAGCAGTCATGTGTTGCCGGATCATTGAAAAAGGAGGCACTCCTCCCCAGCCCACCCCACCCCCCCCCCCCCACGGCTTCTGCCGCCCGTTTTCAATTTTCAAAAAGCCAAGAGCAAACAACGCACAATTTTAAACGCACAGTGACAGCGTAGCGAAGAAAAAACCAAACGCAGCAATTGGGGATTTGCATGCACGCTTTTGGGTAATTTGCATAAAATTAGTCTAGTTTAATTAGTAATTTGAAAAGCTCAAAAGAGGCAATCGGCATTGACGCGGCAGGTGCGAAAGAACGCTTAAGCATCTGAGATGGTCAATGGACTATTCAATGGCGTCTGGGCGGCAGCTAGCCTCTAAGAATACTATAATATTTAAACGCTCAACAGCCCTCATAATAATCTGTTTTCGGAAAAGCAGAGTCAATTCCTATAAATAATGCGCCTCGTCAGCAGCATTAAAAATGAAAAGGAAAAACACAAAATCTCAGCCATAAAATTTAAAAGCAAAAGCCGCCCATGCAGAGGCGAGAAATTGCGTGTAATTTGATTATTTATCACATTTTTTATATTTAACGACTCAATTGAGTTTTATGCGCCGACACGCAGCCCACAGCGTACCAAAAAGCTGCAAACGAGAAAAGTCGTGTGTCCACGTGAGTTCCTTCAGCCTGTAGGCCTACAGAGGGTTTCAGTTCATATCTTCATACAATCCTCTACGAGTAGTCTGAATATACCCACCGGAAGGGACGTAAGTTGACCTTCATATTGATTCGACCGAATCATTTTCCAAGGTGTTTATATGTCTGCAATCCATCAGCTAGATTGGCATAGAAAGTAATTGCCACAATTACTTTCTACGTACAAGTGGCAACGAAAATTTGTTTAATTTCGTTTGCGGATTTTCATTTCATTGCGCGCTAAATACTTGTATGTACGTTCCCTGTGCGAGAGGTCAGCCACATTTATCATACAAAACATTCACACCCACAAATACATAAGCATTCTGTCATTGAAAACGTTCATAGAAATAATGCCACATTTTGGGTTCATTTCAAAACGATTTTCATGTGGATGGCGGTGGCCGAAACTCCACAAACTTGAAACCAAAGGGAGTCTTTGAACAAAGAGCACAAAAGTATGCTACGCGAGTATGAAATACTAACGTGAAATGGAAACGCGTACACGTCCTTGTTCATTTTTATGCACACATACACACTCGTATGTGTGCTCATGTGTTTGTTGTGCTATTGCATAAATGGGAATTTGCTTTGGTTGCCCTGTGCCAGTTTTTGGCCTGGTCATAGTCCGCTTTAGTCTAAAAGAATCCATAAAACGCCAAAATTGCTTTTGTTGTGGCACCCACACAATACAGTACACACATACACACGCATACTATATGTGCATGTGTATGTGGACGAGGGGGCGTCCTGGAAGCGCGTTGCTTGTGTTTATATAAATTTTGTGTTTATTCGGGTGCATTTCCACTGCGGCGCACACTCAGCCGTCGCTGCAACAGGCTCCCCGTCTGTGCAGCTACACTGTAAAAAATGTATAGTACAATGATGATTGGGAAGTGGTTCGAGGCCATAGATCCTCTTTTGGGATAAACTTACATGGCGTGGTTTCTGCTAGCTCGTGGAGCTATGCCGGGCCACAGGTTCTATTTGAATAAAACATTAAAGTTTTGTGAATTTTGAATACCCTGTATGTATTATTAGTATATACCTTTTTCGCCACCACAGCCAACATATATTAATTTTCCCTTTTTAATGTTTTTTGGATACTTGTAAGGTTTTAGGCTATGATCTTGAACAGCGTACAAATTACAGATGGTATAAGAACTGATGAATGGGCCTTAGACATTAAGTGTCAACAACGAAGATTATTATAGCCTGTACGCAGAGGGTAAAAGCCATAAGTTATAGCCACAAATATAATCTCTGTCCAAGGTCTGCAGCTGTTGTTGATGACGTTTGTTGACATAATTCTGTACTTCACACACGTATGTATTTAGGTATTAAATAATTTTTATACTCTGTACATGAAATGTACAAGAGTATATTAGGTTTGCGCGAGCTGAAAAATGTAACAGGCAGAAGCAGGCGTGGCAGACCCCACAAAGTATATATATTCTTGATCAGCATGACGAGACGAGTCGATCTAGCCCTGTCTGTCTGTCTGTCCGTCTGTCCGTCCGTCCGTCCGTCCGTATGATCACTTAGATCTCAGAGACTATAAGAGCTAGAGACACCAAATTTTGCAGAAAGATGCCTTATGTATGTACGCTATACGAGTTTGTTTTATTTTTTTGATTCCCCCCCCCCCCACTTCACCCCTATGGGGGTTTTCACGATTTTCCATTCGTATAATCGCCTATATCTCGGAGACTATAAGACCTAGGAACACCAAGATGCCTTATGTGAATACGCAGAAAATGTGTATTTTGGAATTTCCCTCCCTCCCCCCTCTCACCACGCAAATCGCGATTTTCCTTAACTCCCGTAATTCTCCCGTTTTCGAACTAAAATTTTGCAAATACCCCCAGTTGCTTATTAAGTGTCCGTATGCCAAGTTTCACTATGATAGACCGATTTAACGAGAAGTTATAGCCATAAATATATTGCTGCCCGCGGCTGTTGTTGATGTTGCTGTTTAGTTGACTGCGAAAATGCTTACTCAGACACAAATAGACACGCATAAACATACATACACCCATATAGACGCAATTGCTTTGTATATGTGCAATTATATACCCTTTACGTGAGTTCGAATACCGAGAAAGGTAAAATCGATCAAATTTTTTAAAATTTTCTTATTTTTTTTTCTATAATTATTGTAAACATATGTACAGAGTATTTCAAAGTCGGGACACCCGACTTTAGCTTTTTATACCCTGTACCCAAAGGGTACAAGGGTATATTAGTTTTGTGCGAGTGCACATGGAACACACAGAAGGAGGCTTGGTAGACCCCACAAAGTATATATATTCTTGATCAGCATGACAAGCCGAGTCGATATAGCCATGTCCGTCTGTCCGTCTGTCCGTCTGTCTGTCCGTCTGTCCGTCTGTCCGTCTGTCTGTCTGTCTGTATGAACGCAAGGATCTCCGAAAGTATAAGAGCTAGAATAACCAAACTTGGTATACAGATTCTCCTGAGACCGAGAAAGGACGAGTTTGTTAATTTTTTCTGATCCGCCCCCCCACTCCCCCCCTATTACTGATTTTCTATAACTCCCGTAATTCTTGGAATTTTGAGCTAAAATTTGGTAGTCACATTAGGTTAGTAATTATATATCCGTATACCAAGTTTCATTATGATAAAATGATCGGAAAGAAAGTTATAGCCATATAACCAGGCCCAATGCACACATACATACATATGTGCAAGTACACAAACACGCATAAGGCACGATTCTGATGTAAATGTAAATGTATGTATGCATGCATGGAATATTTTATATTTAATTAGTTAATATTTAGTTAATTAATTAAATTAATTTAGTTAATTAATTTAATTTAATTAATTAATTAATTTAATTTAATTAATTAATTAATTTAATTACTTTTTTGTGGGGTGGTACAGGGTATTTAAGAGTTGAGCCTGCTCGACTTTAGCATTCCTTTCTTGTTTACTTGTTATTTCATTAATTTATTAATTTAAAATTCAACTTTGGAAACCATCAACCTGAAAGGAAAGCAGAATTTGCGTAGCAACGTTTTAAATATTTTTATACCCTGTACCCAAAGGGTACAAGGGTATATTAGTTTTGTGCGAGTGCACATGGAACACACAGAAGGAGGCTTGGTAGACCCCACAAAGTATATATATTCTTGATCAGCATGACAAGCCAAGTCGATATAGCCATGTCCGTCTGTCCGTCTGTCTGTCCGTCTGTCCGTCTGTCTGTCTGTCTGTATGAACGCAAGGATCTCCGAAAGTATAAGAGCTAGAATAA